TTAAAATTAAACTGCATGTCAAGGGCCTTAATATTTTAGTACGCCCTATAATACCATGGTATCTATAGTCAATTTTTTTTTATGAAAATCGACAAATTTTTTTTTTCAACAGGTAATTACAAGCAATTGTGCAAGCAACTAAACAGGTCGGTTCCTAATTAATATCTTTCGAACGGTTTTTGAATTTTTATTCAAATATCGATTTAGAATTGCGGGCTAAAACAAACATTTTTTCACTTTTTTGCGATTTAAAACTGACAAACGATAGTCTTCATCGAGATATATCGAATGGCTTTTAAATTTTTGAAATGGTTCCAGCCGTCTTTGAGAAAACGTCGATCTAAAGTAAAGAATCTGTTTACATGGACACACAAACATACTTTTTCCAAATTTGGTCTCATTCGATTCAGAATGGCTTGAAACGTAGAGAGAACAAAATATAAGAGAATGGGATTTTTGGGCAAAAACATAAACTTCTCCTTCAGTAAGTTAATTATTTGAATGTGCTAACAAAAATATATATACAGCCCTAAATTTTCACCATCCTACCTCAGATTCGCATAAGAGCTAATATGATATTTTCGATTTGTGCAAGAACGAGGTCGAATTATTTGGACTAATTATGAATGAAATGCGTTAATAATTTTTGTGTTATTTTTAGATTTTTATTTTTTTACTCATTTTTTTTTCAATGTGAAACTAACAAGTATTATACCATATTGCAATCTTGATTAAATGCTCGAATTTTCAACGGAACTAGCCAAGATACTTCAGTGCTTGTTTTTTTAAAAAGATAGCTTATCAAAGGCGACCAATTTTAAGTTTATAGCTCAACAAATAGTCTTGATTCTAGTAAACTTCGGACAATTTTTTCATTATTTTAAACTGTGATTTTAAGAATATTATCAATATTCACTGCTCCAAAGTTCAAATAAACAACACACTACACCACAAAACTAACCACAATGTCCAAAAATTGTTCATAGTTTGACCTAAGCTCATGGTTGTACTTAAAAGCTTATTACTTTTAAACGGAATAGAGCCCTACATTTTTACCCTCCTATCACAGATTCATAATTTTTCCATATTGCAATCCTGATTAAATAGACGAATTTTAAATTGGAACTTGCGACTTTAGAAAACATTGCCATTCTATAGAAAATGAATTTTAAATTGGAACTTGCCAACATTCTTTAGAAAATGAATTTTGAATTGGAACTTGCCAACATACCAATTTTTTATGAAATTTGCCAACACACTTTAGTAAATTTCGTTTTAGTAAAAGGCGTTTCAAATTCGACTAGTTTTGAAAATTTTACATTCATAGTTTAACAAATAGTCTCAATTCTAAAAAACTTGGGGCAATTTTGTCATTGTTGACTGCAGTCCTAGAAGTTTTATTTTGGGTTACGGTTCTAAAGTTTCAATAATCAAAAGTAATAAAAATTAACCACAATAACTGATAATAAATGATGACAGTTTGTACAAAGCTCTAAGTTGTACTGAAAAGCTCATAAACTCAAACTAAACTGCTTGTGGAGGAATATCTTACTCGAAGATTGAAGAAAATGGCTATACGACCTTAAATGAAATGTCAAAAAATAAAAAAAGGAGATATCTCAAAGAAAATAAACTCTTCAAATGCATTTACACTCAGCATATCGCCTTAGAAAATTATATTATTTTGATCGGCAATAAATCTATGCAAAAAAAGCTGCATGTGATTTTTTTTTCTTAATTTTTATCTTGACAATATAAGTAATCCCAGTAAACCCAGTTTAGAAACACCCTGTATATTCCATATTATTTTTAAATGAGTAATATAATATTTTTTAGATTCTTAAGCTCGTTTTTCTATACCTTCACTATAACATTATTATATTTTACTTATAAGGAATGATTTTAATGTTATATTCAGAATTCTTCATAGAGAAGTGATCTTTAGAAGAAGATGAATTAGAATGTAATAGATATACAAAAACTGTTAATATATATTTTTTAACAAATTTGATAACAACATTTATAATGATGTTGGTATCAAATGTATTATGAAAGCTTTATATTAACAGTTTTAGTCAAACTAGAAATATAACTTTATACATTTTTTTTACAACTTATAAACATTAGCTATGTTATAATTATTGAGAAAGATCTCTTTCTCGTCATATTCAAGAAAATGTTCAAAAGTATTGAAATTTATAATTTAAAACATTATTTGTTAGGTCCTTCATGTTCTTTTTATATTTCTTAAATGTTGCAAGTAACATTACAAATATTATTTTAAAGTTGGTCAAAAAAATTAATTATTAAAAATAAATTATTATCTGTGTGATAAATTGAGTATTGTAGTCATAATGTATGGTTTAAAAAAACATTCGTCTTGAATATCAAACAAATATTGAAGGGATTTGGTCAAGGTAAAAAATTTCTGCCAATTTTTCTTTCGTGTCTTTGTTTATTGTCTATTGTTATATGTGAACAATATTCTATAGTTTTATTGCAAATATAAAACAATAGTACGTTTAATTTTTTTTAATATCAACCGAATATTGATTTTATTACTACTAAAAATATCAATATTTTGTAATGTTTTCTCCAAGTCCTTGCCTAATTTTGATTTTTTATAATTAACACTGACAATTTAAATATAGAATATATACGTTTAAAAGTTAAAAAAAAATTTGCTGAACTCCTCAAGTAAATGTTGAACACATTTGCTCCTTAGATATAAATCTGTAAACGTATTTCTAGTAAAATTATTTCCAGGCGTAAATTTATAAAATAGCCCGACAATATATATATATATATATATATATATATATATATATATATATATATATATTTAGTATAAATAAATGTACTTACCTTACTCAGAGCCTCTCAAATTTGCACTGTTATAAACAATTTACATAACTTCAGCCTAAACATTTTTCAAAAATTTCATGCAATAAATATTTTACAACGATTTTTATATAAATAAAAGTTTTAAACCGATTTTATATAAATAAAAATATAAAATTCGACATGCGTTTTTTACAGCATTTTTTTTTAATTTTTACGTTGCTTTTAACATATATTAGGAATTGAGATAAATTTGTATACGCATACAAAAATTTAAAAGCCAATATAAAATTTTATTTTACCATCTTGTTTGTTAATTTAATAATTTATTAAAGCAGTTAAAAATAAAACAAAAAGCATTTGTTAATATTATATAATTTGCTTATGTGTATTTATTTTTTAACATATTGTATATATATATCACATTCATAAATAAATTATCAAGTATACTTGGCATTAAAACATGTCTTAAGTAAAGTTTTTAAAACCAATTTTTATAAAATCAGGTTTTTTGTGACTCAAATATTTTGAATATTTTTGAGATTCGATATAATATTCACACAAACTTGAGTTATTTAATTAAAGCTTTCTTAATATTATTCTAATTACACTTAATGTTTTATAAGTCCTACGTTTATAGCTAAACTGTGTTTTTTTCGATATTTTTTTTTTATATTTGAAATAGTTCCTGAGAAAATTTCTTTAACACGATTGTAAGTGAATATGCACAAGTATTTTTATTTAAAAAAAATCAATCAGTTTAGTTTTCGTATTTTGGCTTCCATGGCAGTTAACTGATTTTGATAGATAATTTCAATCAGTTCAAAATTTAAAATATTTTTAATTAAAAAAAAATCTGAAAAAAGCGAGGGGCGAAGTAAAAAACTAACCGTTATGTGTCAAATGTATTATCTCAAGTTAACCCACTGTTCTATATATGGTAAAGCTCATTATCAGAAAAAATGTCAAAAATCAAAAAAAAAAAAAACGTAAAAAATTTTGATAATCAAATACATTCAAAATCCTAGTTCAACGTAAATTGTAATTTTTGATTAATCCGAGTTTCTGTAAAGCATTAAACAAAATTGCATAATCTAATCTTTTTAATTTGTATAGCATATACCATTTAATTATATTGTTAGATAATAATTTGAACAATTAAAAGTGAAGATGTTAGTAAAATTTAGAATAAATCATAATTAGAGAAAACATCTTGGGCTAACATGAGTTAATGCCATCCAACCATTCTATGTACCCAACTAGGGTACAATGAGATATTGTTGTGAAATTCCAAAAATTTATATTATTTAATTTTGAAAAAAAGAGTAAATTATTCTAGCAGAGATTTGAAATATTAAAATATTATTTTTTGCGGTCTTGTCTAAAATCAAAATTTTAATGTGTAATTTTTATTTTAAAGAATACCATGAACAAAGAGACCAATTCTCGGATAAAATAGAAATGTTATGACAACACTATGTTACTGTTATCTTAGTATCAGTTGGTAGTAAAAACTATCAAAAAGTTACGTATTTGCTGTGCGATCAGGCACAAAATGCATCAAAGTCAAATAACAATTTCATAACATAGATAAACAAGTATAGAGGGCGCCACCAACTCTAGCACGTAAATCTACCCCTAGGTTTAATTCTAGATAAGATTTATTTAAATATATAATATAGCAAGAATAACCCTGATTACTTTGAATAAATGAAGTAAGAACCAAAAATACGCATATAAAATATAATTTTAACTAAATCACAAATATATTTTTATAAAAATATACAATAAAAAATGCGTATTATAAGCTATGGTCAAATAGTCAGGATTACCTTTTCTATATTATATATTTATATAAATCTTATCTAGTATTAAACTCTAGGGTAAATTTACGTGCTACGGTTGGTGGCGACCTCTATGATATACTCAAGCAGTTAAAATTGAGGTAATATCAAAAGAGCCGAGTTTGCGATCTATTTATTCTTGTTTATCTATGGTTTTATGTATAAAACGCCTGAACGAACAGCAAATACATAGCCTTTTGACAGTTTGTTACTACCAACTCATACGAAGATAGACCCGTAACACAATGTTGCCAACATTTCTGTTTTATCCGAGAATTTGTCCTTAAATGTAAGTTTTTAAAATTCAACTACCAT